TTCTTCTTAGAATAAGGCCCTGGTAACAACCAGGCCCTGAGCTAAAACACTGATCCCTCATTAGGAAGAACAAAGGACTAGGAGTCAGGAAACCAGGTTTGGATTCTGATCATAACTAACGGTGTGACTTCCCTTTACCAACTCGCTTATCTGTTTAGTGGGGATAACAACCTTCCCATCTTCCTGGGCCATCATGAGGATACAACGAAAACACAGGTCTGAAGTACTTGCAAATTTGAAGTGTTATATAAAAGTAAGAGGGTTCTATTATTTGTCTGTTTCTGTATAAACTTTTATCTCCTTTGGCTTACCCAGCTTCAGTTTGCCCAGCCAAGATACTGCATCTAGAACCTGGCTCTGATATTTGCTTATGTATTTATCTACTTTTTGCTTCTCACTGTTTCTTCTTCCAGACAAGCCATGACTTAGGCTTCTTGCTGTTTTCCAATTACCTATAAAATCATCCTTCTGCTTTTTACCTAGCGTGATGGCTGGAGCATTGATCTGCCAGCTAGATTGGTGAGGTGCCCTCAAGAGGGAAACCTGAGAGCTCTCTTCCACTCCTGGTTTACACACAGCACACTTTCTAACTGCAGTGTGGCCTCATGCTCAGACGTCTTGTATGTGAATGGCTCTAAGGCTCCCCAGATGGTGAGCTGGGCACCCCTGAACTAGATGTCAGGTATTGCATGCAGCCTCAGAGGACCAACCCCACAGGCCTCGAATGCTCTGGTCTATCTCAACAGCTCCAAGTTTGAATCCTGTATTGTAACAATTTTTTGACCACCATTTGCCCCTCGCTGTGAGCCAGAGCTCTGCAGAAACCAAGCACTCAGCAATCCTGATTATGAAGAGTTAAGAGATGAAGAGGAAGGAGAGAAGGAGAGGAGATGTGAGGTTGGAAGTTACTGCTATTCTACCTGGATACCAAACCCGAGGCAGAGAGTCATTCCGCAAAATCTACAAACAACCCTCCGCTAAGAGTTTACTTGAATTGTCACCAAGCAGGCAACAAAGTCCCCTTTTCAAGAGGTTGCTGAACATAGTGTGGGTTGGCTAAGTAGGAAGCTGAAGATTAGCCCCTCTTCTCCACCCAGCCTCGAGATGAAACACAGATGAGCAAGGGCACTGCCCCCTGCCCATTTATAAGGCAGCTGCTACCAAAACAAAATATACTCCCTGTCCTCCCCTCCAAACTAAACAGTAGTTTGTCAAATGGATGAATAAGAGGAAAAGTGACCATTTTCCTTTATGTTAATAAATTGCTTTGGCCTAAAAAACATTACTCAATTTCTTTCCAAAGTACACACGCTTCTCCATACTCTGCTATTTGTCTGGCCTTGAAAAGAAAGTCACTTTCAATCCCCTTTAAATTGTCAAGACCAGTGGGGGCAGTTGCAAGAGGGGAGTGGGGAGCTCCCTCAGTCCCAGTGATTATAATGGAAACCTGTGGTGTTTCCACAGAAACATAGAGTGTATTCTTCCCTGAATGTGCACGAAGGGGAGGGGTGAAGAGTAATGTTGTTGGCAAGGTGTACAATTACTGAAGAGCTGAAGGTATGAGTGAGAAGGTGAGGCCTTCAGTCCCTAATCTAGGAAGACAAAAGACAGTGAAGAGTGGAGTGGGCAGAGAACATATCCTGCGTGGGGACATTTCACCTGTTATTGCATCCTATCTGCACAACTACCCAGTGAGGTAGCTTTATAACCCCCATTTTCAACTGAGTCTCAGAGAGAGAAGCAACTTGCCCAAGGTCACCCAGCCAGTAAGTGGTGCAGCCTTGGTTGAAACCCAGGAGAGTTCCACTCAAGAGCCCTTGCTCTGTCCTCTGTATTGGGCTGCACTTTAAGTTGTGATGATGAGACAGAGTTGATATTCTGTCTCCTGCCTCTTCTCTCCCCTGGCCTGCCAGTTCTGTACACATTCTGGAATCACCCAGAGCATTACTTTTTCTAATTGGTATTAGGACACTGTTGTGAGTCGACAAACTCAGGTGGTTTGTTGTTGTTGTCATTTGTTTGAATTATGAAGTCAGAGAATGTCACATATAAGGAGAAGAAGGAGGCTGATTTACCTGTGTGTTCACATAATTTGGTAGAGGTGTTTGGATAAAGAGCTGGAAAGCAGGGGTAATTGAGATAAACACAAAGCATATTTTTAAAGCAATTTTTTGTTTAATCATCCGTCTCACATGCTGGGAAGTAAGATCCACAAGATCAGTATCTATATCTGTCTATATTACTATTGTGTCCTTTCAACTGAGCATAGCATCAGGCCCAGAGCCGGATAGATGGAAGGAAGGAAGGATGTAATGATGGATGAGGATGGCTGGCTGGCTGGCTGGCTGGCTGGATGGGTGGATGGATAGATGGATGGATGGATGGATGGATGGATGGATGGATGGATGGATGGATGGATGAAATGTCCCATAACAGATAGCATAGGAAATTCCTACAATGAGCAGGGGGCACCTACTTTCTTTGGCTTCATCTGGTGCTCTAGGATGAAGGTTACTTTTCTGCCTTGGGGGAGAGAGACGGGGCTATTTCAGGAGCTGGGAGAACTGTGAATGTGGATGTTCCCTATCTGTGAACTAATCCGAGAGGGGGTGAGAATTAGAGTTTGCAACTCACTGCTTTAAATTCCTTCCTTGAAGCAACGCAGAGGTTGTCAGAGATAACTCTTCCCCAGCTTCTGAATCCATCTCCTTAAGTTTCCACTGGGGAAAGTGAGGTGCAGGTAGTGCAGACAGAAACCCATACCAGGTCCAGAGAAAAATAGGGGTGCAGGGCTGACATTCTGGAAGTGGGAGCCTCAGCATGTGAGTCAATGGATACCTTTTCGCATTAACTTGGCAAATCTTGGGCTTGGCTAGAAGGTCTCTAATAGCTCTTGAAGTTGGCTAGCATTTACCGAGGACACAGAGTCACTGTACTACCAGTGCCAGGAGACCAGGGATAACGTCCGGCTGTTTGTCTACCACTCCTCCCCCAGCACCTAGCACAGGGCCTGCACATGGGAGATACTCAATAAAAGTTTGTTGAATGACTGGATAAACACTTAGTGCTCAGCTCTGAGCTGAGTGTTGCACATGCATCATGTTGTTTAAACTTCACTGAGGTCCTATGAGTAGGTACCATGCTCATTTTGTGGATGGGGACACTGTGGCTTGAAAATGAGAAATGACTTCCCCAATATCTCACAGCTAATCAGTTGTGGAGCTTTGCTTTGAAAAACACAGCTTGTGTTTCATCCATTATATAGGCCATCCAGCCAAAAGTATGTCCCTATAAAGGGGAGCAGGGAGGAACAGAAAGTGAAAGGATATAAGCTGAGGAGAAGAAAATCTGGGTGAAGATTATCAAAAATACAGAAACACAATAATCAGACACCCCTCCCCGATGCTCCCTGAGCACTGACACCCCATTGGTCTGGCTAAAAAACAGGTCACCTGGCTCTTCTGACTCTAGCTTATGCCATTTCAGAAAGCCTAGTGACAAGGCACCATTTAGGGGCTTCATTAGTCATGATGGCAATCATGATTTGCCTTTTCAGTAGCATTTACTCTGAACTTGGGTCTCTGGGAGGTGACATGGGGATAGTAAACAAGGACAAGTGTCCCTTGAATGACAGCTCCTTTTCAGCCCTTGCTGGGTAAAAAGGCTTTGGCCAGTCATGCTACATCATAAATCCACATGGGGTCTTTTCATCTTCCACATGAAAGATTTCACTTCCCTCCTTGCTAAACAAGGAGAATGCACTGTTTTCATGACTCTGCATTTCCTCCGCTTTCCACATCCCACGCTGGCTCCTCATCTTCTGGCCTCTGAGAGCTCTAGTATGAAACCAGGTAAAAAACACAGCTAAAAGCTTAAGAGCCTTTTACAAGTGTCTGGGCCCTGGAAACTCCTCCATAACTAAATCTCCTAGGGAGGAAGTGGACAATTTAGGATAGAGGGAGCCCAGGCACAGCCTGCAGGGACATCTGCAGGATTCACTCTTTCTGGCCTGGCTCTCCAGGTTCTGGGAAGGCTGAGCCAGAGTTCTGAACAGGCTGACAGTCCCTGCTGCCTGCCGGCCTGACCCACAAGCCCTCAGAGGTGGGGGAGCACCCACTTTGTGCAGGCCAGAGCTTCTGCACTCCCCAGCTTCTGACTCTCTCAATCTCTGGGAACCCTTGTCCCCGATGGAGTCATGTTTATCTCACAGACCTGTGTACAGATGATTACAATGGAGCCTGTACATTAATGACTCCAAAACACACAAATAAAATAGCAAAAAAAAAAAAAAACAGAGATTAGGAAATGCCCATCAAAGGAGAATGTTTAAATATGTTGTACTGATGGAATGTTTTATGAGGTAAGCATATATGTAGAGCTTTCCAGGACACATTGTTGAGTTGAGAAGCAACGCAAAGAGCAAGACATAACAATAGTAGTAGTAATAATGTTGACGATAATAATAACAGTAAAAGAAGCTAACACATACGGAGGGCTCACCACATGTCAGGCACTGCTCTAAGCACTTCATTTATATTCTTTCACTTCATCAACATACGTATTAATACCAAAGAAAGCCTTTGAGATAATGCTATTATTATGTCCATTTTATAGATAAGGCAACTGAGTTGTCAGTTTTATTGCATATTCCACTATATTATGTAAATCTCTCATAATGAGGCAGTTTTCATGCATAACATGTAAAAAGAATTAACAATTAGAAGCATGAAATAAATGTGAGAGAGAGGTTAGAGCAATCTTTACTGAACACCTACCACCAGGCGGCCATGTTACATGCCTCATTTAAACTTAAGAACATCCCCAAGAGGAAGGCATTACAGGTGCCGATTCAACCAATGAGGAACTGGAGGTTCAGAGAGATGCACAACCTAAGCATCTCAAAACCCATGCTCTTCCACGTCAGTTGGACACTTGGTGAGGCTAAATCCGTATGTGCTGATTTGACTTTACTTTCCTTCCTTCCTCTCTGTGTTTTTCAGTGTAGAATATGATTTTCGGCAGCAGGAAGGCAGGTTCCATGAAGTTCTACAGAGTCTGGAGGAAGCGGAACCAGTTGAGGAGGCTTCTCCCCCACCAGAGTCCCCAGCAGAACCCCCAGTCCCTGAGAAACAGGACTCACGGCGGAAAACCAAGAAGGTGAAGAAGAAATGCTTCTGGTGGATCTGAGCTTGTTGGGACCCTTCCCTCAGCCCTCCCCAGACACCTCCCTGAGGAAGGGAAACCACTGCCCTCAGGCCTCCTCGACTTCTTAGCAAAGGCCCCAGGCTGTGAGCCTCTCAACCTGAGACCTGAGAAATGGGAAAGACGCGGGCTGGTTTAGCCACTGCTGGACACCTGACCACCAACCTCACCTGAGTGAGTGCCACTGCTTGCTGAGGACTTCACGGACCCTCAAGTGACCACTTGCCTAGTTCCCTGTCACATCCGACCAGGCCACATCCTGGTCTGCGAGTCTAAATTCCCACCATGAGCAAAGCTCCCATCGCACTTTCCAACACCTCCATGATGCTAAGCACTTCTTTCCCATCCTGAGTTCATCACCCCAAAAGACAGAAAAATATGCTGTGCAGAGCAGGAAGCTAGAGGAGGGTTATAAGCAGATACTCCAGAAAAAATTAGATCCATAAACTGGCAGTTTTCTAAGATATTGGTGTACATAAGCACAACAGAAGTGGGCAGGGCATAAAAATGCAAGATCACCTGGTGGGTTGGGTCATTTTCATTTTTAATTAGCCCCTTGATCCCAAATCAAGGATTTGCCATCTCATGCTGTGTGGGCCCTACAGTCTGTGGCAGAGTGAGGTCACTGCAGGGTACAATGCACTTGTTGGTGTGGCTATCCTGCAGTGATAGCTCCTCCAGAGCCCACCTCAAACCATCATGCTTCTCAGCCTGGGTCCTGAGACCCCCTGACAAAACGGTGAGATCTAGTTTGGGTTTCAACTTAAAATTCCACAGTTAATTTCCCTGAACATTTAAGATCATGAGATCCAGCAGCCTGTCTGTCCGTTTCATCGCACCAGTAAACAAATAAGACTAAGATAAAACACAACACTCGTTCTTGTCCATTCGTCCCTGCAACAGCCTTGTAGATTGGTTCAGAAGTATATTAATCTACACAGTCTCCCTTCCTGGCAACCAGGCAATGGTCACCTGGCTGAAGAAGCAGCAGGACTGGTGATGATGACATCCTTTCTTCTATCTTAGTATTAAAGACCTCTCCTTCCCAAATTCTTGGAATTCCCAAGAATTTCCTGAATTCTTTTAAAGTCTGGCTCATTCTTTTGACAAGACCCCCATACATGTGGGTCCAGTCAAACTTGCATGGCTGAGCAAACTACTACAGTAATATAATTAAGTAATTGCTACCTACACTTGGGAATGAGAGGTGGGTTGGCAAGGCTCATATTCCTTCTCGTTAAATTCTCCACCAGCCTGCGGTTGGATTGATGCTGCTCAGAAAAGGGATCCTAAAGCTCAACCCGCATTCAGAGAAGGCATTTCATAATCCCCGTTGCTGAATATCAGATGTCTGGGTTAGCATCTTTGCAGAGCGCAGCATCCTATGTGAACGTGGGATGTACGTACCCCACTGCAAATTGAGACTAATTGAGCAAACCACTCCAACAGTTTCACCTCCCCTGTCACAGCGCTGCAGTGCACAAAGCTATTTCAGTAAGAGGCGAGAGGGAAATTTGGCAAGGAATCTTGGCTTACACTATTTAAGTCTTGGAATGTCATTCAAGATGTTCTTGTTCTGTTTCTAGTGTAATGTTTAAACCCACAAAATGAGACTAGAATCTATAATGTTAAATTAGAATTAAGATAAATACACTTGTCATACTTAAGAAGCCACATTTCAATAAGATATGCTACTACTGGCTAAGAGCCACAGATCTTTCTGTATCCACACAATCAACTCTCAGTTGGCCCCAACAATGGAAAAGAACAGCACAGAGGATAACCCAATAAAGCAAAATCATTCAGGATCTCTTATATAATTTTATCTTGTAGTAGAGCTTCCATCTTAATTTGCTTTGCTTACGCTAATTTTCAAATTAATTTATATTCTCGGGCAGCATGCTAGAATGAAAATAATCCTTTTCCCAGAATTAAGAGACCTAGGCAACAGAACAGTCTATTTCCTAATCTTGGACAAATTACTTAAATTTTGGGGGCCTGTTTGTCCATTCTCGAATGGAGATATAAACACCTACTCTACCTACTTCATAAGCTCTGTGCACGTTCCAACATCAAGGGAGCAGCATGACCCAGACCCGAGCTGGGTCATTTGTCAAAGTTAGCCTGGAATGATGAAGAGCTGTCTGAGGTAACTCACACAAAAAGCATAATCCAACCCTTGCATAATTAAGACGTGCATGTTGTCATACACTCACACTGATACTGAATTAAACGAATTCGGGATTGGAAAATGTTGACATTTCTAGAAATAAAACCAAACGAGGCTATAATGATTCTATACCAAAGCACAACGCAGCACTGTTCGGGCCACTGACCTGAAACTGGGAAGGAGGTATCTTCTGAAAACTGAACATTTAAAATCGTTAGGAGGGAAACAGATTCAGTAAACACCTTCCTGCTAAACAAAAATGATCATCTCTACGTTTAAAAAAAAAAAACACACATCTACATATACCAAAACTCTATACTCATCTACTCATGTGAAAATCGCTTCTTTGTAAAATATTATGTAACATCTACCATGATATTCTACAGAAATGGTGTACTTGAGGTTATACGGTTTTATGGAGAGATATTAATTTAGCAAAAACTACTTTTATAAAATTGAAAGGAAAAAGACCAATATATCAACTTAAGTTGCAGGAGTTTATGTAGCTGCTTTCTCTGTAGTTAAAAGAAAAATGCATACTCAACTATACTTGGAACACAATACCAGCTCATCTGTAGACCACCTTCTTAAAGACTATGTACTAACGTAAGGTTTTGTAAATTTCTAAAATGTTTTAAATGGGATATTATCTTTTGCAATAAACTTACATATTTTTCCTAGGTTTTAAGACTCCATTACTAGCTTGGGTGGATCTGGGTTCTAAAATTTAAACTTAGAAAGCTGGCCTGGTGGTGTAGTGGTTAAGTTTGTGCGCTCCATTTCAGCAGCCCGGGGTTCACGGGTTCGGATCCTGGGCACAGACCTACACACCACTCATCAAGCCACGCTGTTGCAGTGTCCCACATACAAAAGAGAGGAAGAGTGGACACATGTTAGCTCAGGGACCATCCTCCTCAAGCAAAAAGAGGAAGATTGGCAACAGATGTTAGCTCAGGGGCTAATCTTCCTCACCAAAAATGTTAAATAAATAAATAAAAATAAAATAAAATTTAAACTTAAGAAGGATGCCTCAGTGGTCCTAATGACAAGGATAGTTTTCATGATAATTGCTTCTATATGTTTCCCAGGGAAACAAATAAGCAAAGAACAGATTCAATACTCAGAGCCACAATGATCCCAGGAAGCCCATCACGTCCTGGGAGCAAGGGAGGCTGTGTGAATCAGTGGAGCAGCTTCCAGCCAATCAAGCGGATACACATTTATGATTTTCATCATTATTCTGCCCTCACATCTGAACTATAATTTATTCAATATTTTTCTTTAATTATTTTTCCCATAATTTTCTTCCTTAAAAGGCAACTTTACATCACCACCACGAGGAAAACCAATATGATGTTCCAAAAATGGAAGATGAAATCAAGACAATTTTATTCAATTCTTGCTAGTGACTGTTGAGTATTGAAGGCACTAAGCTTGAGGCCAGCTCTTTGTTAAAAAGGGAAATTAGCAAATATTCAACACGTGCTAAAGCCACTTAACACCAAACACATTTTCTACTTGACTAATCAGGATGTTTGAGAGAATTGAAAAGAAAACAACTTTCCCATCATATGATTCAATTTTTCTTTCCTGCATTGTCCATGAGCCATCAAAAACCAACTTGTTTACCAATTTAGGGGAAAAAAAAAAAAACTGGACAGAGAATCAGAAGTCTTGAATTTGATACTATTTTTCAACCTTCTTTTTGCTGCGACCTTGGTAAGGTTAACCTCTGTGAGCCTCTGATTCCTTTCCTTATAAGGCTGAACATAACCCTTGCCTTACAAGGGTGTCCTGACAATTAAGTGGGAGAAAGCCCTGAGCACAATATAGGGCACACAACAGGTGCTCAATAAATGCGTGTTCATTCGTTTGTTGATTGAAGTAATTGGGAGAGAGGTCAGAAGATGCCTTCATGGGGCTGCAGTGGTTTTTCAGAAAGAGGCTTGAGATTTTTCTCAGGGCAAAAAGTGGTGTTGGTAAGGAAAGAACTCCTCCTGGCCTTATTAAGACCAGGAACCATGACAATGAATGTTAAGTAACAAAGTTCTCAGTGATCCAGGAGAATACGCAGGCATATAAAGCACAGCACAGCACTCTGGGGAATGAAGGATTCTTGTTGCGTGGAATCAAATATCCTAGAAGCGAAAGGCATTGCAAGAGCCGGGCCCCCGCCATTTTAAGCAGGAGGCAGTTAAGTAAGGATGGTGCTTCGTCCCAGCGCTTGTAGCAACCACGTGGGTTAGTCAGTGTTGGGAGCAATGTAATTGGTGGGTGGAATGTGTGAAGGCCTACCAGACATCACGACTCAGGGCAGTTCCAGGAACCACTGACGCTAGACTTGAGACCTGTTCTGACCTCCAGGTGCAGTTTCTTCATTAACTGAGCAGAGGCCTCAACACAGCCTTCACTTGAAAAGGCTCTCATTGTAAGCTGCTCAAGGCAACTCACTGTCTGCTAAAAACGTACTTCTTTTTGTAAGTTCCAAGAAACATAGATGTTTTATGATCGTAATGTCCATCAAGCATGGCTTGCAATAAAAAGAGCTGAGGGACAAATCCACACCCAACACCTTTCCTGTTTGGCACAAACCATGTCTGACGGGCTTAATGGTCATAACCCCCTTTCCAGTACTTTCATCTAAACTTCCTCCCCATCTTCTTTCAACCAATTAACAGCCTGAATTCCTGTTGATCATGTCTACCACCCCTACTCCTATGGTTTCCCAAATCTATGATTTCTTCCTGCCTCCTACAGGACCCTCAGTCCATGAAGAGCAAACTTAGAGCTTGGGTTCCTCATTGCCAGACTAAGGCAGGTTCCAAGGTAAGCATGCCTTTCCCCTATTGGTATCCTGCTCCAAACCCCCTTCTCTCTCAGCTGGCCCCCACAGAGTCATCCCGACTGGTCTCTCACATGCACTCCCTTTCCCTTCCAGCACATTCTC